TACACTCTCACTTCCTACCCCTTCTTGGCTGGATTTGGTGAGGTCTCTGGTGCCCATTGCTCCAGCCTGTCTGGTTCCTTGGGGCAGCTTTTACACTGCAGAGCCCTGGCAGCCTCGCTTTTTGCACAAAGGCAAGAGACAGGCAGAGCAATCTGTTGCAGGTGCAGTGATTGATCACCACGGGGCTCTGGGGAGCAGCGAGAGGCGCAGCCCAGGGACGGTGTTCCTCTGCTCCCAAAGCCGTTTCTGGCACACGCTCCAGCTGCAGCTCATCTCCGTCTCGGCCAGGGGAGGAGCAGCATCGGCTGTGCCCCAGCTTCCCTGTGCACATGTCCTGCTCAGCCACGAGGGCCGTGAGCCCCACGGCGCGTTCACACGCACCCGCACCTGGGGCAGCGCTTGGGCAGCGCCGGCAGCTCCAGCGTGCGGCCCCGGAGGCCGAGTAGGAGACCCTGCGTGCAACTCCTCGGCAGCTGCAAAGCACAGGTGCTGAGGAATACACCTGGTGCAGGCAGCTCAGGGTGCAGCTGCACTGCCAGCTCCAGGCTGAGCCCTGGCTGGCCGGAGCCCGAGGAAAAAGCCCATGACCTGCTGACTCTGGGCAGGACAAAGAGCCCGAAAACCTGTGGCACAGCCAGGTCAGTGGCCACTCAGAGACAGGGCAGATGCCAGGCCTCGGGAGGAAGAGCTGAGACTTTGCTGTGCTCGGACTGTGAAGGCGTAACAGCCCAGGGGTTCAAGGTCCCTCCCTGGAGGCACCGGCTCGAGCTGTATCTGTGTTCCTGCGCTGCAAATAAATTGTTTTGTGGAACAAGACACGTGAGACTCTGCTGTGGGAAACCCGGTCTGACTGTGTGAGAGTGGGGGGAGTGTGGGGAGTCAATGGGGGCACTCTTCAGCTCACCTGAGCCACCCACTGCAAAGGGGATTGGGAGGGGGTTGGCCAGGAGTAACCAATCACTGCTGCGGGATGGGTGGGGCATTGGTCAGTGGGGCGTGAGCAGCTATTGGGCATTGCTGGTTTCTCTTGGGTTTTATTCCATTCTCTCTCCTTCCCATTATTATTAGTAGCAGCAGTAACATCAATATATTTAGTTTTATTTCAATTATTTAACTGTTCTGGTGTCAGTTCAGCGGTTTTACCTTTTCTTTTTGATTCTTCCCCACTGAGAACAGCAAGTTCTTTATGGGATGAGCTGCAGGCAGGGGTTAAACTGTCCTGAGGGTCTGGGTAACCACAGAGTATGGGGAAGGGGAAGGGGAAGGGGAAAGGCAAGACCACTCTGGAAGGTTTGTCTCATGGCTTGGCTCTCGCAGGAGAAAAGCCTAAAGGTGCAATTACTGACAGTTCCCACCGGATGGCTCCCGAAGCCCAGCGGGAGCGGCAATGCTGAGCACCGCCCGCAGCTTCGATTCAGCTCCAGCCGCCCTCTCGTACCACAGCCCCGTGTTACCAACCACAACAGAATGATAATAGCCCAGAGCCAGGGAGGATGAGCATTCCCACGGGACCACACACACCAGGAAGGGTTTTATTAAATGCACATGTGAGTGCACGGGCAGGAACTCCGAGAGCAAACTGTGACCCACAGCTATTAAATAAATATGAGAGATGTTCCCAACAACTTCGTTTTAACACACTCTCCTCAGATCTGTTGTTATCTCAACTCTTTGTGCCCCAGTTGAGCACCAATAAGGACTGTCGTGGTTTAACCCCAGCCAGAAACGCAGTCCCACACAGCTGCTCGCTGCTCTGGTGAGATGGGGGAGAGAATCCAGAAAAGGTAAAACCCACGAATGGAGATAAGAATAGTTAAATAACTGAAACAAGGCTAAATATATTGACATTACTGCTGCTACTACTGTTAAGAATAGTAATGGGAAGGAGAGAGAACAGAATAAAACCTGAGAGAAACCAGCAGTGCCCTGTAGTCGCTCATCACCCACTGACCAATGCTCAGCCTGTTCCCCAGTAGCAGTCAGTGGCTCCTGGCCAGCCCCCTCCCAGTTTCTGTACTGGGCGAGAGGTTCTGTGGTCCATTTGGGGGTCGGGTTTCCTGGCCATGCTCCCCTTTGCTGGCAGAGCATGGGACATTGAAAAGTCCTTGACTTGGAGTGAGCTCAACGGGGCTCCAATTCAGTGTGATACCAATGTTGTTCTCACTTCAAATCCCAAACACAGCTTCTGGGGAGAAAATTCTCTCTCTCCCAGTCAAAACCAAGACATCCAGCAGCCCCTGAAAACCCCTCCCTGTGAGCCCTGACTGCTGCAGTCTCCACCTCCCTCAGTCACCCTTCAGTTCTCCCCAGCACCCCTTGAGCCCCTGCCCCACCAACAGCCCCCCTTGACCTCCAGGACACTCCAGCCACGCCCTGTGTCCCCCCACAAACCCCCAGTGACACCCCCAGACCCACTCACGCCTTTGGCTGCTCGGGGGCCATGGTGGGCACTGCGGGGACCCCTGCCCACTCCTGGAGCTGCTGCTGCTGCCCGGTGCCTGGCGCCCAGCGCTCTGCTCTGCCCCCTGCACTAAAGCCCTGGCACCTCCTCTTGGCCCAACAGTTTTGATTCCCTGCTGCACACACAGGAATGTGGCTTTTTGTCTCAGAAATAGCAGATGCAGAGGAGCAGGAACACATTCATGGGTGGTGAGGGGACCATGGCTATGGGGCAGGGACATGGGGATACAGTTATACAGGTCCAGGGGCATCAGGCCATAGCCACGGGGATGCAGCTGTGGGGGCTACCTGGCAATAGGAGTATGACCATAGTGATGCAGGTGAGGGATGTGCTGTTTCCCCTCTTATGGGGTCACACACCCCAGTGGCACACCAGGATGTACACAGCCACTTGGCTTCCATGTCTACATGATCAGCAGCGCTCTTCCTCCTCTTCCCTGGCTTGGAGAGGTGGGGACCATCTTCACCTCTGCCTGAGCCAGCTGGTGGCTTCACAGAGATCCTGGTGCTGCTGGCACCACATCAAAGCCCTCTGCACCTTCTCATGCCCTCTCCTGTGCCCACAGAACTCCATCTGCCCAGACCCGACCTCTCTGTCCTGCCTGGGCACGAGGTGACTGTGGGAGCTGACGTGATGTTCCGCTGCACCCCCACACACCCCATCACCGGCTGTTTCCTGTACCTGGAGGGCCAGATCCGAGCCCAGCTGCTCCCCAGGGAACGAGGTGACTACAACCTCTCCCTGGTGCAGAAAGGTGACAGCGGCCGCTACAGCTGCCAGTGCTACACCTTCAACGCTTCGAGAGAATGGTCTGCTGTCAGCAACACCCTGGACTTTGTGGTGAGAGGTGAGACATCCCCCAGCCACATCCTGCTCCACTCTTCCTCCCAGCAATCTGTCACACCCTGGGGGAGCTAGAAAAAATATTTAGGGCAGGAAAGCAGCTGTATGAGGTGACCAAGCAAGGGGTTCCAGCTTCCTTCACCTGTGTTTGAGCCTGGCCAGCTCCTCAGAGACCCTATAGAATACCTAGAGACCCTACAGATACAGGTTTGCTGGGCTGACAAGTAAGCTAAGAGGATAAGACACTGACAGGATAAGAATCAGAGGACACCTCTCCCTGCACTGGCCCAGAAAGTACCCATGTCCTCGGCTACACTCCCAGCAGTGTGGGCAGCACAGGAAGGAGGGGATTCAGCCACTGGTGGAGAGCAGCTCCCCCTGCCCAGTGAATCATGATTTTAAAAGGGTTAAGATTTTAGCTGAGGGTTAGAACCAATTCATATTGAATTTAGATACACCAACAACAGGTTAATGATTATTAGATGCTTAAGCTAATTGTTATATTATGAGCTATTGTAGAAAGGCGACGCCCTAGCAGGGAGTGACATGCTCTGACTCCATGATTCAGAATGCTGAACAATTGCTTTATTAAGCTATACTATATTACACTAATACTATATTAAATTACATACTAAAAAGATACTATACTATACTACTAAAGAAAAGCCCATGACTGTCTGAGACAGACAGGACACAGCTTTGAGTGACTGGCTAATCACTCAAAATAACTTTCACCGGTGTCCAATTAACCAAATCACTTTTGGTAAACAATCTCCATAACACATTCCACATGTGCAAAAACAACAGGAGCAGTGAATAGAGGTAAGAATTATTTTCTCTTCTTCTCTGAGCTTTTCATTGCCTTCCCCAGGAAAAATTCATTGGAAGTTGTGCCTGCTACTCTCTGTGAAGAGAGCGGCGGCCACAATGAGCTAATTTATAGAAGGAAGTGGAGCAAGCAAACTATTATAGGAACCATTATTAAAACCAGTAGAACAATGCCCAGCACTTGCACTCTATGTTAATCCATCATGAGGCAGGGGGGCTTGGATTGTGCCAGAGGGTCAGAGACCTGATGAAGACTTTCCAGACTTCATCCCTGGAACCACTGACCCCATTTGAGACCACTGACCCAATTCGAGAGAAGAATTGCGCACATGTAAAAGACCAATAAACTAATTTTAATACAAAATGGGGATGGGAGGTGCTGGGGTTATGCATATGTATTATTTTGGGAAATAAATGGAAGGCAAAAATCCTCATGCAGCGCGGTCACGCGCTTCGGGGACGATCCCCACTGTGCCACCTGCCAGCATAATAAACATACCACTTTCTAACTTTGACAAGTTAGAGAGTCTTTGTCTGTGATTTTCGGCTTTAACGATTCACCAGGACACCCTCCCCATGCGTCTGTGGCCTCAGGCTGTGGCAGGGCTGGAGCTGGGCACTGACAGCCTATGGTGAGCAGCTGAGCTGTCCCTCAGGCTGGCTGTTAGGGCAAAGCCACCAGTGCTTTGGAGGGAAAAAGGGAAGAAAAGGGAGAAGGAACGGCAGCCCCATTTCTCACTGAACTTTGATCCCTACTGTGCACTCTTCACCCCTTTGTTTGATAACACCTCAAATTCCCATTACTTGTTGTAGGGAACACCTCTGCCCTCAAGAAGGGAAATTGTGTAAGAGGTTGTAGTAGCCTCACTGTGCCAGTGAAAATGAGTATAATTTTCTTCTGAAAAACATTTTATTAAAAAAAAATTAAAATGCCTGTCCCTAGGAGATGCTTGCAAATGCAAACAACACAAACTGTTATGTCCCTTTAATTGTTTGTAGAGTCGTTGTCCTCGGACAGATGTCACCCACAAGTCTTACTGTTCAATGATTATTCATTTTTTGTTCAGGCTTCATTCTCCATACATCATTCTCTCTCCTTACCTATGTTGTTTTTCTCACATATTCACATTTTGGTTCCAGAAATCATCTACTTCATTGAAATAATGTTTCATAGATCCTAATCCTCAACATAAGGTGAGGTATGACACCAGCTGAATGTGAGACCAACAGATGTTTAAGGCACGGGGTAGCCCTGTCCTGAGGAGCTGATCCCATTTCTCACATCCATGAGCTCTTTGTCTTAGGAGAAATCGTTCCATTCAAATGGAGACCAGAGGTGCTGTTACCTCAGGTCATCATTGCTTCTGGCAGGTCTGGCTCTTGGATGCTCGGGCTGTCTCTCCAGAGACTGATGGCTCAGGGATGTCAGTGCCGAGTTAAGGTTCAGAGACCGATCCAGCTTCCGAGTCTCTTCTTCCAGAACAGCAGCTTTGGGCTCCTTGAGCACAGCTGCAAAGGAGGAGGACAGCTCCTGGTGAAGGTTTGACAGCTCCTGGCTGGTCCTTGCACAGCTCTCAATGTAGTTCTGCCGGTGCTGTCGGTCTTGGGCCAGCTGTGACTGCAGCAGGGACACCTGAAAGAGGCACAAGGCCCGGCTCAGACAAGCCCACGCTGGCAGGAGCACCTGCAGCCCCACGGCACCGGCTCTCGGGGCAGACACAGCCTCCAACTCCAGCCCTCACCAACACTCTGCCCTTGGGCAAGGGGAAAGGAACAGGCTCCCAGGCACAACGGAGCTACGATGATCAACAAGTCCAGTTCAAGGCTGGCAAACCCTTCCCACGCCCACCCCTCAGCTACCACAGGTCTATTTCAGGGACTTCCAATGGGATTTAGAGAACCAGCTCTGCTTTCCAAATCACACATTTGGGCCACTGACCCCTTTCTTCACAGGCTGTGCATCAGCAGGAGAGCTGCTGCTCCCCTGAGTTCCTGCAGGACTCTTCTGCTTGAGTTGCTGGACAGGCAGCTGAGGGACAGAGACCAAACTCTCCCAAACTTCAGAGCATTCTACACAGGAGCAGAGCACAATGTGGACAACTAAGCCCAGTGGAATAATGAGCCTCTGGTATTGCCTCAGGTCCCTGGATTTCTGCTATAATGCAAGCTCCACTGTTACAGAGTCAAGGGAAAATGGAAACAGGCAACAAAGGAGAACATCCTGGTACAGACTGCCCAGGGAAGTAGTGGAATCACTGTCCCTGGAAGTGTTCAGAAAACATGTGGCTGTGGCACTTCAGGCCATGGTTTAGTGTTGGGATTGACAATGCTGGCTTAATAGTGGGATTAGATTATCTGAGAGGGTTTTTCCAACCTTAAGCATTTTATGATTCTATGATTCTGATATTTTCAGGTGACTTCCACTGTTCTGAATTACATCCCATCTCTCTCCCCCACTGCCTGATCTTAGGTCAGAGATAAGACCAAGGTAAAGGATGTTTGGTTGTGGCCAACAGGGGCACAACTGACAACACCTGCTTAGCTCTCACTTCCTGAGAGCCAAGCACAACGCAGGCTGTAACAGCATCCATAGCTGTGCCCATGAGTACAGCCACAGCAGCCTTTGGATGAAAGTCTTCCTACTCCTCACCTGGTTCTGTAACTCAGCTAAGTGCTGATTGCAGTGAGCATGAGACTCCTCCTGTGAAGAAAATGAAAGGATGTTATTTCATTCTGTTTGGTCATAGCCACAGGCAATATTCAACTTCTATTAGGTCTCTACTGGAGGGCTGCTGCCACTGGGATTTCCCATAATTGCTCTGTACCACCAAAGCCTCCTCATACCATGGAAAATGTTGTTCTCACCTTTCTAGAAGCGGGCAACTTGCACTGGTCAGACTCAGAGAGAGAAAATCCAGAGGCATCTGGGAGTAACCGACCCCTAAAACATCTCTTCAGTCTCCTCCGTTCATGTTCCACCTGCAGATTGGATGGGAGAGAGGGTGACAGAAACCTGTCAGCAAACATGGAGCAAAAGGACCTCTGGACATCAAGGCAAGGAGATCCCTACTCTGAGACCCTGAACTGCACCAGACAACACTGGGGGCAAAAAGCTCTCGCTGGGGGCTGTGCAAGAGAGGCCAGTGTGTGTGTGCAGGGACATGGGGCCAGGGAGGGAGGCAGAGGAGTGAAGGTGCCCTTGTGAAAGCCATGGGCTGCCCCAAGAGAGAGGACAAACAAAAGGGTGTGCCACAGCAGGGACAGGGAGAGGCAAGGGAACAAGCAGAGGTCTCCAAAGCGCTGCCTGGGCTAACGTGCCAAGTTCCAGAGGAGCCTGAGGCTCTGCAGAGGCAGTGAAAGCCCAATTTACCTGCTCAAGAGTCCTCCTGAGTTCAGTATTTTGTTGCCTGAGCTCCACCTTTTCATCTTCCAGCTTTGCAACTGCTCGCTGCAGACATTCCAGGCTCTGCAACATGAGTCTCTTCTCTGACAGCCATGACAACTCAGCAACAGCCTGCTGGGCATTCAGAGAGGAGATTCCATGAGCTGGTGCCACATAATGATTAGAAAGGTGTCAGAATCAATACACTGTGGAGAGTGACCACAGCATGAATGGACAGTGCTAAAGCCCTTTTTCTCCTTGTCCACGGGCCAAAACAACACACCCTCTCTCTAGGCACCCTCCTCCAAATCCCCTTGGAGAATTGAGTACTTTGTTCTGTATCTGCTTCCTGCTAGTTTTTTCAGTGTTCCCCATTCTGGGTTTCAGAGACTGGAAGCATTAATTTCCTATCCAGACACTTCATGGTTTTACAAAGCTCTGTAGCATCTCCACCTCTGTCTCTCTCAGGAATTTCTTGTCAGTTGTGAATACTTAAACGTTTACTCCCCTTGGGGAAGTTAATTACCATCTGTGGTCATCCTCTTTGATCATCACTGTAAATTCTCTTACCCACAGTTCTACTCTCTGTCCTTAGACAACCAAATGTGCAAGATGTGGGTGAAGCATGTATTTCTGGAATGATAAAACACTACCGTTTTTTTTTTCTCTATTCTCTTGACCTGTTACATCCTCATACAGAACTGCTCTTTGAAAATACCATGTTATCAATCAGGCCATAAGCATTGCTTGGAACTTAGTCAGGAGCCACCTCCTCCTCCTCCTTTGTGCCTTTCTCCATGAACTGCTCCTTGGAGCACCTATAAATGCAGTCTTGGTATCAGCAGTAAACCAATCTGTGTGGATGCCACTGCATTACCTGACTGAATTCTCTTGCATACCTGACCTACATGGATGTAACTGAAATGTCATGCTCTTTTCACATTTCTTGCCCTTGTCACACCTTTACTTCCCATCAACAGATCTCAATACTTGTCAGCATCCTAGATCAGACTTCAAGTAATATTTCTCAAGACATAAGTAAATGTATAATGCATAAATACAGTGTTTTCTTAGTAGCACTTTTTACATGCCAATATACTAATGGACACTAGAATATAGGCAAATTCTTGGCACAGCTGTAGCACAGGCTATTGCAACTGTTCCACTAGCAGGACCTGAATAAGTTCACTTTGGAAAAATACACACAAATCTGCCTCCGTGATTTTTGGATTGCAGTACAAACATGTCCTGAATGCATAATTAAGCATTTAATCTGACCAGGCAATCAACAGAAATCCCATTCTTTTAACACACTGAAAAAGCTGTCCCTCAGAAATTTCCATCTCGGGAAGCATCCTCGAAGCACCAGCAGTGCAGCTGCTGTTCAGCCTCTCTATACAAAACTCAGCTCAGTTTAGTCCATCACTCTGCTCACCTGCTTCATTCCTTCCCACACCCAATCCAAACCCCCATGGGTTGCCCCCCCTTGCATGGGCACAGGAGAAGCAGCTCCCCATGCCCAGTTTTTGGCCTGGAGCTGATTTGAACAGCAAGCTCCAGAGCTGGATTGGTCATTCCAGGCATGCCAGGAAACAATCTGGCAGTCAATGGTCTCTGGCTGGAGCCAGGCAGACAGACAAGGCTGCCTGCTGCAGCCCGGGCTGCGACACCCCAGCAGGCCTGCACTGACAGGGACAGAGACCCACCTCTTCATGGGAAACATCACTGGAATAATTCAGGGACACTGGAGTGGACTGAAGATCAATCCCAGTGCCTACCTGTTGATGAAATCGGTCTGTGTCTCTCTCTGAAATCATTCTCTGCAGGATGGTTATTTCTTTCTTCAGATTCCCATTGGCCATTTCACTCTTGCTCAGTGCAGCACTCAGGACTTGAGCATTCTCTCTCCATTCATGTTCTCTGCTTTCTCTCTGCTTCAAAGCAGGAGCCACACACTCCAACTCTTCACCACTGGCATCCCTCTCAGCTTCTAACTGTTGGGTAATTTCCTTCTGCCTTTGCAAGAGATGGTCTCTGTCCTGGAGAATTTTCCTCTTCTCTACTTCCTCTTCCTCCCATTTCTGGAGTTTTTGGATTTGTATCTTTAGGGTTTCCCCTTCATCTTTCCATTGCAAAGCCAATGTTAAGTCTTTCAGGAGTTCACTCTGCCTCCTAAGCTCTTGTTCTCTCTCTATCAGAGTCTTCTTTAAATACTTGACTCTGTCTGTCTGGTACTTGATCTCTTTATCCTTCTTTGTCAGGGTCTGCTGAACATGCTGGAGATCTTCCTGGAGAGCTCTTATTTCCACTTCTAACTGCTTTTGCTCACTTTGAGCCTTGATCTCTCCTTCTCTCTCAGGGAAGGCTTCTTTCAGAAACTCTTGCTCTCCATCATGTCTAACCTCTTCATTCTTCTCAGTTAGCCTAAGCTGGAGATTCTGCAAAGTCTTCAGTTCTTCTTCTGCATGCTGAAGTTTTTGCCTAAGAGCGTCATTGTCCTCATCTTTCTTCCTCACCACTTCCTCAAGTAGAGTCACTTGCTTCTGGCATGATGTTAGTGCTACTTTCATGCTTTCTTCACGAAGATGGAACGTGTTCATTTGCTCTGTCTGCTTGAGGAACTCCAAATGGTTCTTATTCAACATCTGGTTTGCTTTGTCTAGATCCTGCTCTAGATTTCTGACCTGCTTGCCTGCCACCTCCTTCTGCTCTTGAAGCTCCTGGACATGCTCTTGCAAAGACACTATCTCTTGATCTCTAGCTTCAAGAGAAGATTCAGCATATTCTAGTTTTTGCAGTATGGCTTTAGTCTGCACCGCTGTCTCTTCCTTCTGCTGTTGAAGCTTTGTGATGGCATCCTCCAGAACACAAATCCTGTCTTCTTTTTCTTTCAGTGTTGTTGCATGGCAATTTCTTTGCTCAGCTTCATGCTTTTCCTCCTTTTCCTTGCATGCCTCACATTGCTTTCTAAGGGAAAAAATTTCCTCCTCTTTTTCCTTTAGTTCCACTTGAAGACACTGCAGAATTTGCTTCTGCTGTTCAGAGTCCTGCTTTTGTTTTTGGAAGGTCTCAATCAGTTCCTTCTGAGATTCAATCATTAAATCCTTTTCTTTCAACACTGTCCTATAGTATTCTAAGTCCCTGTGCAAGACATTAATCTGTTCCTCTTTTTTTTCCTCATAGCTCCTTGTTTGTTGCTTTTGGATGTCCATAAGTCTGTCTTTTTCTTTTAAGGCTGCTAAGGTCTGCTCCAGTTTGTCACGAATAGTCTTTAACTGCATTTCCATGACTTCTTCAACTTCCTGCAATTGTTTTTGTTGTGACTCAAGCTCTTGATCTTTTTTAGATAAAGAAAGTGTCATGATTTCTACTTTACCAAGAACCTCTTGCAGATGCCTATCTTGCTGTTCCCTGTGCTGCTGCAAGAGCGTTAACTCTTCCCTTTGAGCGTCACACTCACTCTCTCTGTCCTTAAGAACAGTTCTCAGGTGTTCAAGGCTAGCATTTAGAGATTTCACATCTTCTCTCTCCTTTTCCAGTTCTTGAATCTGCTGAGTCAGAGAAAGAAGCTCCAACCTTTTCTCCTTCAGGTTTCCTTTCATGTCATCAAGATCCACAAGCAGATTTCTGACTTGTACTGCACCATGCTGTTCTAGAATCATTATTTTTTCCTCCTGGAATTTGACCTCCAGGTGTTTCTCCTCCAGCTCTTTGCTCATCCTGCTGACAGCAGAGTTCTGCAATTCTAACTGCTTCTCCAGCTCCCTTATCAGTTCTTGCTGGGATCTGATCTCTTGGTCCTTCTTTTCCAGCTCTTGGCTCATTTTGTTAAAAACAATCCTTTGCTTTTCTTGCTGCTTCTCCAGCTCCTGTATCTGTTCCTGCTGGGATTCTGTCTTCTGTTCTTTCTCTGTTATGTCCTTAATAACCTGATTAAGAGCAGTTTTATGCATTTCTTTCTGCTTTTCCAACATTCTAATCTCCTCTTGGTACAATTTCATTTCTCCCTCCCTCTCTGACAGAATGGCAGTCACATGAGTGAGATGCTCCTGCAAAGCTTTGGTCTCTGCTGCCTCTTTCTGAAAAATCTCCATTTTCTTCCCCTGGTTTTGCACTTCCTCATTTTTAATTTTTAACATAGACAAGGCAGTTTGGAGTTCTTGTTCAAGGGAATGATTCTTGTCTATTACTATATTTGCTCGGGTTTCAGAGACTGTGACTGATTCTTCCAGAAGTTTTATTTCATACTCTAGTTTTTCTTTATCTGTCTGCAGCCTGTCCTGTTCATGCTGCAAAGCAGGGAGAAAAAGGGTCACTCATTCCTTCTCTCAGTTTGCTTTTCATACCAGATCCGGACTCCTGCTGCAGGGGCAGGCACAGGCTGCCCCTCTCTCTCTCTCTGCCCCTCGGGATGCTGCACACCTTTGCTGGGTCCCCCGTGATGCTGCATCTTTCCCAGCTCCCTCAGCCCGACCCAGATTCCATTCTGCCCTTCCCTGACCTCTTGCAGCTCCACTCCAGTGCTCCTTTGGGGAGGAGCTGCCAGAACTGCAGCCAGGATTTCAAGTGCACGCTAAGCAGGATTCAGGCAGTGCCAGGAGGATGTGCTCTCCATCAGGGAGGAAGGGAAGAGCAAACGCCCCCAGCCTTTCATTCCCTGGGCTTGGGCTGACAGGAGTGGTTTTCCACCTCTCCTGTGTAGAGTTTCCATGGCTCCATCCCCGAGAGCCCCACTGCCCTCTCTGGGAGCAGCAATGGCCAGATCACTCTGTCATTCTCTGCTGCCACCCAGGACGAGTTGTCCCCTTGCAGGCACACGTCCTGATGTGGATCAGCACTTGGCTTTCCTCTCTTCTCTCCCCACTGGCTGCTCTCAGATGGCCAAGGCTGAACACCTCTCTATTAACAGCAAACTTGGGACTCTGCCTACTCCTTCCACATCCAGATGTTTAGAAATCTGAACATGGGTTTGGACACCAGGAATTCCCCAAACCATGCAATGTCAATAGAGACAGTGAGGACGTTGAGAACTAAAGCTTCTTGGGCACAGAAGACCAGCATGGAGGAAAATGAGCAGCCTCAGCATTAACTGGATTTTACACAACTACAACATTTTTCCTCCTTCTTCAGAAGAATGCAATTAGAAAAGTTAAACTGGAAGAAGGTGTCCCTTAGAACTATTAACACAAGGTCCAAACATAGCCAGGAAATGGTTCTCTGTGGCATCTGCCAATCTCACCAGCACATCCTTCCTTTCCTTCTCCAGGTTTTCCAATTTGCGCTGTAGAGATGCCACCTCCTGATGAAGAGTCACAGCCTCTTCCTTCAGGGCAATGGTCTCTTCCTTCAAGGCAGTTTCCAGAGAGGTCTTCTGGTGTTCTGCCCTCATTGCTGCAGCAGGGAAGGAGAAGGAGAAGAGGACAAGCAAAGCAAAGACAAACTGATGTGCATCCTGCAGAGACAATAGCACTGTCTTCTCTACCTGCCTGTGTTTGCCAGGCCCTAAGCCCACACAGGCTCCAAAGCTGACAGAAATGAAGGAAACTTCTCGGCAGAGAAAAAGGCAGGAATGAAAGGGGCAAGCTTCAGAGGGATAGGAAAGCGTGTTTGCTCTTGGCCTTGTGCAGAGTGAGCAATCCAAGAGAGACAAAGGAGAGGGGATGCCTGTGCAGCCCTGCTCCAGGGAGGCCAATAGCCCGGAGGCTCTGGCAGGGCCTGGAGTTTGGGACAATCGAGCTGAGGCATCCAGCTACAGCTCCTTAGCACAGACACAGCACCTGAAAGGCACCAGCTGTGCACAGGATCAGCCCCAGCACAGCCAGATGGCACTGCCAGCCACAGCATCTTTCTCAAGAGAAAGCTTTCACTGGCACTTGGATGGATAAATCTCCCACTGGTTGTTTTTCCCTTCTGCCATCTCTGGGCACTGCCTTTTTTCTCTGTGTGGCATCAAAGAACCCCACTGGAGAGACAGGATGGATCAGTGGGTGGGAGAGGAGAAGCTGTACCTGCCTGACTTTCATCCAACTGTATCTGCAGCTCCTGATTGCAGGCTCTGAGATTTTCCATCTGATCCTGCCCCGTGCCCAGCTCCAGCTCTAAGGTCTGTATCTTCTTCCTTGCATCATTCTGAAAGAGATAAGAGGAGCACAATCACCTGTCATTGTCACTGCTGGCAGGAGACAAAGGGCTACAAACACTAAAGCAGAAATAGCCCATGTGGGAGAGGGCAGCTGGACCCCTACTGGTAGATGTGATTGTGATCCTCCTTCCTCCCCATGCCACTGAGCCACCCCCCTACAAGGACTGACACCCATCCTGGCCTTGGCACAGTGCTTGTCCAGCAGCCCAACAGCAAGACAGGATTTCTGGGTGCACTGGGCACACATTACCAGATCTTTCTGGGAATGCTCCAGGTGCTGCTGCAGGTCTTGCAGAGCTGCTGCCACTCTGTCCACTGTAAGCTCTGTGGGGACATCCCCAGCCTGAGAAGCAGTTAGGCCCATGACATGACCCTCTTCTGAAAAGAGAAAACATTCTGTTTCATGATTTAATCCAGTGGTCTCCAACAAACAAGGTCTCTTTACCTAGGAGGAGGTGCCTTTGACATTGTCTTAGAGCTCACCTTGCAGCAGGATGTGTGTCACAGGCTGTCATTATTCTGATGACCACCAATGTCAACACTGCCCCAGAGACAACTGCATGGGCCCTTGGCTTGACATGGACTTGGCCCTTGCATGGGCTTGACAGGACTTGGTCCCTTCTCCCTTCTGACTCTTATCATTTCCCTACGTACAAACATGGACTTATATCTCCGCAGGGAAGTCAAGCTGTCAAGACTTCCCAAGGCCCGAGTCAGCCTAAACTGACAGGGTAAATGTGTGACACCAGGGTGACACTCCCTCCCTCCACCTGCTCACCCAGCCTCTCACACTTGCCTGAGCTCCAAGTGACCAACTCTCTGCTGTCCCTGATCATGTTGTGGAGAACCAAGAGCAGTTTGTCCAGCTGGGATTGAGTTTCCTGGTGGGCACCACTGGCCTGCTGACACTGTGTGGCCAAGGCCTCTGCTCTGTTCTCAGAGCTCTGGAGCTTCACACGCAGCTCAGACACCTGAGCCTCCACCACGTGCACAGAGTCCCTCAAACAGCGTTCTCCTGCTCGAGACTCCTCCAGCTCCTTCAGCAGCTGCTTCTCTCGAGTTGCCTGGGAAGACTCCATCTGCAGCACTGCGTCCTGCAGGGCCTGGATCTGGAAGATGGATGCACAGAGGCTCAGGGACAGAGCTGCTCCTGAGGCAGCAGAGTTGACAAGACTGAGAGCAACAAAGAAGAAATGATTTCAGGCAAAAAACGTGCCAAAATCTGAAGGAACAGAAGCAAGGATTCCAATGGAGACAAATGGAGACAAAACCGGGGAAGGGAGGCAATGGGAATCCTTGGGCTGCAGCTCTGAACAGCGGCTGAACTGGCTGCGCTGCAAGTGCCCTGCCCAGCCTGCCACAGCCACGGCTGTGTCCCCACATTGCTCAGTGCCCGGCACAGGCACCAACTCTCTCTGGGACAACACTGCTAAGAGAGGGACAGAGGAGCTCCAGAGGAGTCTGCTGCTGCTTCTCCTCCCAGATTTCCTGCTGGCATCCGGGAGAGGATGGGGGAAAACTTCTGCAGCAGACACCAGATCCAGCCTCGGCCTCAGGGTGCAGCAGCAGCCCCGGGCAGAACAGGGCAGCTGGGGATGCTGCTGGGAGGGGAAAGAGGTTGGGGCCTCCAAGCCAAAGGTGCTGCTGTGTGTCCCTGGAGAAGAGGATGCCACTGCACAGCTTACCTGGGTGTTGAGCTCCTGCATTTCTGTTCTATGCTCTGAGTGGAGCTCCTCAGCTTGGGTAAGGGCAGAACGAAGCTGAGACACCTGATTGATGTGGGCCATGTTGTCTTCTTCCAGGGTTCTGAGGCTCAGATCCTTTTCTTCCAGAGACAGAGTCAGTCTGTAGAACAAGGCAACAGATGGCCATGAGAGACATTCATATCCCTTGGGTGCCTCAGAGGGGGTGGTGGAGTTGACCACTATGTGAGGCAACACTTGGAATGTATCAAGCTTTCTCTGGGGTAGATGATGAGTGAGTCCAGAGCTTATGGGTCAGAATAAAAGGACAGACATGTAAGGATGACACTGGTGTGGGTGTTTGCTAGAGGCCACTTGAACAGGAGGAGAAGTAGATGAGGCTTTCTAGAGGCAACATAAAGCAATCTCAAAGTCACAGGCCCTGGCTCTTGTGGGGGACTTTAGCTTCCTGCCATCAGCTAGAGAAGCAACACAGGGCAGGATGTTTCTGGAAAGCTGATGACAACTTGCTGTCACAGGCAGTGGAGGATCCCACAAGGAACAGCATGCTGCTCAACCTTACTCTAACAGTCAGGGAAGGCCTTGCTAGAGATGTGAAGCCTGAGGTCAGCCTTGGCTGCACTGCCTATGAATGAGATCGTGGAGTTCAGCTGGGGATGAGCAAAAAGCAGGGCAGCAAGCAAGATTACAACCACAGACCTCATGAGAGCTAACTTTAGCCTCTCCAGGGACCTTCTTGAAAGCAGCACATGGGAACAGGCCCTGCAGGGTAAAGGGGTACAAACTGATATTCAAGGATCACTTCCTCTAGACTCAACAACAATGCATTCTAGTGAGCAAGAAACTGGGAAAAGGGGGCAAGAGACCTGAGTGGATAAGCAAAGAACTGTCATTCCTTAAGTGCAAGCAGAAAGTACACAGGAGATGGAAGCAGGCTCAGGCCACTTGGAATGAATAGAGACATTGTTGGAGTAAGGAGAACTGAGACAAAGACCAAGGACCACCTTGGAATTAAATCTGGGCAATGATGTCAAGGACATCAGGAAGGACTTTTTTAAATACATCAGTAACAAAAGGAAAACCAAGGATGATGTGTCTTTGTCTGTTCCTAAATGGAGGGGAGACCCTGGTAACAGAGGATGCAGAGAAGGCAGAGTTCCTGAGTGCCTTTCTTTGCATTGGTCTGTACTGAACAAGACCAGCCCTCAGGAGAGCAGGCTAAAGGAATGTTGGAAGGAAGACTATCCCTTAGCAAGCCTTCCCTTTCAAGGAGGACTGGGTTAGTGAATGCCTGGGCAAACTCTACATCCACAAGTCCTCAGGCCCTAACAGGATGTGATTGTGAGTGCTGAGGGAACTTGTAGACACCAGAGCGAGGCCATTCCCCATTATCTTTGAAATTGTCACAGAGATCAGGAGAGGTGCCTGGGGGCTGGAAGAAAGCAAATGTCATTCTGGTCTTCAGAAAGGGAAGCCAGATCCTCGTCTTCAGATGAGGAGCCAGGGAACTATGGTCCTGTCAGAATCACTTCAATCCCTGGAAAGGTGATGGAGTACCTCATGCTGGAGGCCCCTTCTTCCCCACATGGAAGGACAAGAAGGTGATCAGGAATGGTCAGCATGGATTCACTGAAGATAAATCATGCCTGACCAACGTGATTGCCTTCTACAATGAAACATCTACCTGGGTGGACAAAGGGAGAGCAGTGGATATTGTTAACCTTGATTTCAGTGAGGCTTTTGACATGGTCACTCACAATATCCTCCTTGGGAAACTCAGGCAGTGGGGGCTGGAGGAGTGGACAATAGGCTGGACTGAGAACTGGCTGAACAGCAGAAGCCAGAGGGTTGTAATTAGTGGCACAGGGTCTCGTTAGAGGCCTGTCATTGGTGGTGTCTCCCAGGGTTCACTCCTAGGCCCACTATTGTTGAACTTGTTCATCAATGACTTGGATGAGGCGGGCAATGCCTCCCCATCAGGGTTGGCATCCCCTCAGAGGGATCTCAGCAGGCCAGGGATGGGCAGAGAGGAACCTTCTTAAATCCAGCAAGGGCCAAGGCAGGCTCCTGCACCTGGGGAGGAACAGTCCCAGGCACCTGCACAGGCTGGGGCCAGCCTGCTGGGAAGCAGCTTTGTGGAGAAGGACCTGGGGGTCCTGGTGGACAAGAAACTCTCCACGAGCCAGCAGTGTGTCCTTGTGGCCAAAGGGGCCACTGGGATCCTGGAAAGCACTGGGAACAGTATTGCCAGCAGGTCAGGGAGGGGATCCAGCCCCTCTGCTCAGCCCTGTGAGGCACATCTGGAGTGCTGTGTCCAGCTCCGGCTCCTCAGCACAGCAGGGACAGGAGCTCCTGGAGCGGGGCCAGCGGAGGCTGCGGAGCTGAGGAAGGGCCTGGAGCATCTCCGTGCCCAGGAAAGGCTGAGGGAGCTGGGGCTGCTCAGCCTGGAGAGGAGCCCCAGCTGAGAGGGGCCCTCAGCCCTGGGTGTCCCTGTGTGCAGGGAGGGGCAGAGCAGGACCCAGGCTCTGCTCCCTGGGGCCCAGCAACGGCACCAGAGCCACAGGCAGGGACCGATACCCAGGAAGTTCCACCTGGACAGGAGGAAGAAATTCTTTCCTGTGCAGTGACCGAGCCCTGAACAGATTGTCCAGAGAGGCTGTGGAGTCTCCCTCACTGGAAACATTCCAGAATGAACTGGATGCAATCCTGTTCCATGCGCTCTGGGATGACCCTATGTGAGCAGGGAGGTGGGACCACCACTGTGGTGCTAGCAACCTTATCCTTTGTGTGATTCTCTCAATCTGGTTTAGATAAAAAAAATCACGGGTTTAACATGTCTTATGTCAACAAAAGGCATCAGATGCCAAGCTGATTCAGCTCCCAAAGGCTTCAAGTTACAGGACCCAAGGTGGAGCTGATGGATGTATCCAGCTCCTTACAATGAAGCTTGGGTAGTGTCAACACACCCACCTAAGAACACAATACCCCCTAGAGGGAAAGGGCTACCCCAAAAACCTTTGTCTTCAGAAAAACTCTGTCTGAAGGCTTAAAAGAAATTAAAATTAAACACAACATCTAGACAATTAGATGTGTCTGCATGGAGAGTTCAGAATCTGCCACTTAGGAAATGCTGCCAGAGCCCCAGGCGGTGCAAAGATGGCAAAGAGGGAATCCATTCACCACAATGCAGAGTCCCAAGGCTTTCATTTACCTGGCTTTTTCCCCCTCCAGTGCATTCATGGAAGTCTGCAATTCTGAATTTTGCTGAGCCACTTCTTCCCATCGACTCCTTTCCCTCTCCAAGTACTCCAGATGCAGTTGCAGCTCCTTGTTCCGATGTTCTGCCTCCTCCAGCATTTTCTGGACATGCTCAACCTCCAAGAGCTTCTGCCTGGACTCTTCCTGGGCCTCCCTCACATCTTGCTGGGCTCTCTGCATACATTCTGCCTCATCTCAAACAGCACCTTCTTGTGCTCCTGCTCTCTCTCTGCCTTCTCTTTTTCCCATTGCTCCAGCATCTCCTGCATCTCTGCACGGTGCCTTTCGCGGTCACTTGCCTGAGGAGGGGAGGAAAAATTTGCAAGATGAAGTCCCAGGCAAGCTCCTTGCTGAAAAATGTGAAGCTTCATCCCTGCCACATCCCCCAACTGGAAAAGACAACAGCACTGGCTTTCTGCACACCAGAAACCGTGTCCTGTCAGGGGATTCAAAAGGAGGCTCAGCAGGTGCAAGAACCACAGACTTGTGCAATCTCTTCTGTTGGCAAAGACCTTCCCAAGCACTGAGTCCAAGCACGCAGAAAAGGAGGTGTCACCTTGCCCTCTCTGATGCCCCAGTCACAAGGACTGGAGGACCAGGGACAAGAGGCCTGTTCCATTTGCTTCCAGCCCAAAGCCAATCCATCTATCCACCATGGGAGCAGAGCAAGAAAGGATCTGAGTTGCCACGCCTGCAGCCATCAGCACTGTTGGCAACTGCTCAATGCTGGCATCTGCCCCACGCTGGCATCTGCTCAGTGGCAGGTGGGACTCGGGGATGACCCTGCCCTGGGCTGCCACGCTTTGGGTGGGCACTGCCCAACCTGCTCTGGAACTGCTCTTACACCCTCACTGAAGCCGTGGCTGCATTTACTGTCCCAGCACCATCCTGGGGGCCTTCACGCACCTCCAAGTCCGAGCTGCTGGCTCTGCTGTCTGGACCAGCAGTGGGAGGCCTCTGGCAGAGGATTGCTGCCCTTTCACACCCTCAGCCTCTGCTTGTGCTACACCAACCCACAGGCCTGGCTTGCACAATTCAGAAGCATATTGTCCCCTACCAGGTCTTCCAGGAGCTTCTTTATTTCCACTTGCTGAGCAATTGCCTGAGTCCTGAGGCTTTTGTGATGCTGCTGCTGTGCCTGCAGGAGCTGTTGAGCTGTGTCTTCCTGTTCCTGCCTCCTGAGAGCTCTCTCTGCTTCCAGCTCACGTTGCAGGCACTTCACTTCTCCTGCAAACAAGACCAACAGCAAGAGTCAGAGTCTTTACTGACTTTACTGACCTCAGGCCCTTTCAGTGCCTCCAGCCCCAACACTCCTTAGAAGCTCTGTAGACAGAGGTGGCTATACAGGGTGCTTAGCTTCTCTAGGCAGGAGCAGCACCACAAACAAAGCACACGAGGTTCTCACCTTCTATCACCTCCTTGGCCTGTGTGACTGTGAGCACTTGAGCTTCCAGATGGTTCCCAGTGATCTCCAGCTGAGCTATCTGCTGCTGAGCAGCAAACAGCCTGGATTCCAGGCTCTCCTTTGCTGACCTGCAAGTTGCAAATATGGAGAGACATGAGTTGCTTGCTCCAGATGCCCACAGCCGGTTATTCCAGGATGACGTGGCTCAAGATCCCCACACCTGAGTATGGAAAATGGGTCAGCTGGAAACTCATCCAGAGAAGGCACATCTGTGCCATTTCAAGAGCAGAGCAGGGCCCTCTGAGGGACTGCCCAGGCCTTCCTGATGGCCTGGCACAGCACAAACTGCCCAGCCCAACTTGACCTCAATGGCCAAATCTGCATCTGAAAAGCACAGAGGATAAAATAAACCACTGTGTAGTGTTTATCACCTTTATCATTACAGCTCTTCAGCCCTGTCCTGCCCCTGCAGGGTCTGCTCCCTGCCTTCACCTGGTCTCTGCCAGCTGCCTGGAGAGGTCATGTTGGTGGCGCTCTGTGGCTGCCAGTCGGCCCTCAAGGGCAGCCTTCTCCCGGCCCAGCAGCTCCTTCTCTCTGCATGCCTGGGCCAGTTCATGCCCTTGGTCAGAGGATTCCTGGCGCAGCTGCTCCAGAGCCCTGCTCAACGACTCTTGCTCCTGGGAAACCTGCAAGTGGGACAAGGTACAGCTCGAGCCCTTCCTCGGGAGCCCTGTGCAGAGCCAGCCAGTGCCACCTCACAGGCAGCCAGAGGACAAGGAGCACCAGTGCTCTGGGCTCAAAGTTTCACAGCATCTGCCCTGTGCAGCTCTGGTAGCCTGGGCTGCCAGAAGCCTCTGGCACTGTTACCTTGGAAGAACTGTGTCAGGCCCTGCTGCCTTGCCTGGGCCCACACAGCTCCTTCCCAACAAACATCCCTACTGCAATCTCCCGTGTTGTCACCTGAAAATGCTGCATCTTCCACAACTGCCACTTGGCATACCAAATTTCTCTCTGGATCTGTTTCAGTGATGGACATTTTCAGGAAGCTTTTGGAAAACAAATTTGCTTCCTGAATCAAGGGAAAATATACAGCATTTCCCTGTCCTAGAACAAAACCCACATCCAAGTGTCACCTCCTCGCATATTCAAAGCCACTCTCTGCAAGGAGAGGATGTTTGCAAGGGAAAGAGCTCTTGTGCTGGGCAGACATTTAGTGACTGATGGACGTCTGGCTGATGTGGCCAAAGCACAACCTCTGCTGTGCATTTGCCAAGCTTACCACATTGCCCAGAATTGAGACTGTCTGAGAGAGACAGTGAGAAACAAAGCCCTCTCTTGCAGCTATCCTGTAACACCCAATCCAAACATGCTCTGGCACAGCTTGGGGCTGTTTCCTCTTGTCCTGGCCCTTGTTCCCTGGAAGCACAGCCTGACTCTCACCTGGCTGCAGCTTCCTGTCACAGGGAGTTGTAAAGAGCAAGAAGGTGCCCCCGAGCCTCCTTTTCTCCAGGCTGAGCCCCTCCAGCTCCCTCAGTCACTCCTGGTCACACCTGTGCTCCAGACCCTTCCCCAGCTCTGTTCCCTTCTCTGGACACGCTCCAACTTCATGACAAAAAGTATCAACAGAAACATGCAGACCTGGTGTTTTGTTGGTTTTTTTTCAGAAAAAGGATTCAGAGCTACAGAGTTTGATCCTTTTGCCAGTTTGTTTCTTTTGCCACGCACTCAGATGAATGGAAAACACAATTCTCTCTCTGCAACTTATCAAGAGCCAAAAAAGAGGCCAACAAAGACAGGTGGACTAAAACACTCTGTAGAAGCAGAGAACAACTCCAAGAACTGTGGAACAGCTCTGCAAGCCACCCACATGTTTCCAAAAAGGAGCAAGCAAAGCCTTGTGACCTCTAGCACTACCACATGTCCCCCTGACAAAACCACTGCAGAATCCATCAGGTAAAGCTTCCCTCATCCAAGCAGCCCAGTGCCTACATGGATGCATCATACTTTTGATCACCTGATGGAATTTCTCCTGGGTATCTGCTTTCTCCTCTCCCAGTGTACTAAGCTCCAGCCACAGCTCCTCCCGTTGCTCCTCTGCTTCCTTCAGCAGCTGCTCTAGCCGGGCTTTCTCTGCACAGAGCTCTTTGTTTGCTCTTTCACAGAAGTTCAGCTTCTCCTGCTCACAGATTTTTGCTCTCTCCATCTCATCCACTTTAGCAGACAAAACTTCCTTCTCTTGCTCCAGCTAGAGTCACAGAAACATACAGGAAATAACGTTAGAGGAAAATAGAAGAAAATAGAATGATTACTATGAAAGATTGGCTCAGACACAAAAGGAACACTGCCACAGTCAGTTGGGCAGACTGTGCCAAGCTAAGAAGGCTGAGAAGCAGCAGCAGCTGGAGACAAATTCCTGGCACACCTCTGGCAACTCTGCTCACCTGCCACACATATTTGTTCAGCTGCACTTTGTCCAATGCGAGAGCTTCATTGATGCTGCTCATCTTCGCTGCTGCAGCCTGTAGATCAGCTCTTTCAGCATTCAGCTTGTTCTGAGCCCCTGTCAGCTCTGCCACTGACCGTTCTGCCTGGAGAGGCAAAAGAACAATGGGACAACAAGGGCAGCAAAATCCTGGACTGCAGGCAGCCACTCCACCTTCCCTGGGCGTCTTCGACTTATTCCTAGGGCAGAGCTCCCAGTAAGATCATGGGGACCAGTGATCCCGAAGAGCCTGTCTGGTTGGATCACCATTTTCCAAGAAGAACAACAGTGTCCCTCTCTTCTACTGCCAGAAACAGCATCTCAAGTGATCTTGGTGGCACTGCTCCCATTCCCACAAGTGCTGCCTAGGAATAAGGTGTCCATACCTTCTCCAGAGCCATGGCAAACTCATCCTTCTCTTGCTCCAGCAGATCCTTCTGAAGCTGCAATTTCTCCAGTGTCTGTCTCTTGACTACCAACTCGCTCTGCAGTAATGAGTGTTTTTCCTCAAGTGCAGCCAAGTCCTTCACTCTGAGGAGGTGAAAGAGATTCTAGAAAAACAGTCTATGCTACAAGAGAGGAGCAGGCACCATTCGTTCCTTCACACTGGGCCTCCCCAAGCCCAGCACTGCCAGAGAAACCTTTAACACTCACAGGAGCTCCTGCTCACGGCGTGCTCTCTCCATCCTGTCCTGTTGCTCTGCCTTTTCTGCCTGGGCTGACTCTTCCTTCATCTGCAGCTCAGCATTAATCTGACGCAGACATGAGGCTTCTTGCTCCCTTAATCCAAGCTGTTCCTGTAGCTCTTTCCTAGTTTTCTCGAGGTTTGTACAGTCACTGCAGAGACAAGGCTCAGTCAGAAGAACCCCAGAGGCCTGAAGAGTCAGCAATGCCATTCTCAGCACTCCAGGATGGAGCTGGGAGCAGTGGGCTAAGGAAGACCTTGCTCTTTCCCTCCCAAGGAAATCCTCCAGAGGCAAAGGGAAAGGAAGGCAGGATTTTGCCTTCCTTCTGTTAGAAACAGAGGCTGGGCAGGGGCATGCAAAGAACAGAATTCAGGGAAGCAGCATGGTGAGAAGAAGGAGTCTTCTATTCCAGCATGGCTCTGCATCTCCCAGAGGGAGTCACATGAAAACCCAGTCAGGACGATGCTCAAGAGCCACACTGAGGCCTACACATGGTAGGCAGGTGATTTCTTCACCCAGAACACCTCTGACCTCCCAGGCTTGGAAGCAGATTGCCTCTGGAACTCAGGAGAAGGAGGAGACACTCACCTTCTGAGTATTTCTACTAAAGACTGAAGGTGCTGTTGGTGGCTGCTGGACTCCTTGCATTTCTCCTCCAGTTGCTCAAGTCTTTGCTGCACCTCCCTGCACTTCTCTTCCTGATGTCTCTGTTGCTGCAGCAGGAATTTGTTTGAGTCTTGCCTAGCAGAAAGCTCTTCTCTCAGGGCCTGCAGGAACGGGCAGGGAAGGAGCACAAATGAGCAATAAGGAGCAGGGAAGATGGCTCCAGAGAACTGGAAGAAACAGCTAGCAGAGACAGCACCCCTGAAGGCAAAAGCTGTGCTGAGAGGGTGGGCATCAAGGAGAGAAAAGCAGTAGAACAGAGAGTTGGGAAGACCAGCAAAGCAGTGCAGGAATATGAAAGTGCAAAGAAGTGCCTCAAGTGGCTGAGCAAATGGAAAGGTATCGACCTGAGCAAGGCCTCAGCACTGAACCTGTGGCCACCAGGGAAGACACAAAGCTCTCACCCGTGCTGCCCCTCGCATCCTTGCCAGTGCTTCCAGAACCAGTCCAAAGGCATGCCCTGCATCAACAGATCTCGGAGCTGAGAAGATGTCCCCAGAGTTTGCATGCTGGGAACTGCCAGTGCAGATAATGCTGACCATGCTGTCACTGTCGTCTAACACCATCTGAAAGCCCACATCCACCTGTTAGTCTTTGCTCATTTTACTTGGTTTTCTTTGTCTTGTTCTCGTTTTCCTCCCACTTTACCCTGGAGTCATTCAAAATTCAATTTTCTCGTTTCTTCAGTCCACAAAGGTTTGTCCCTGTGGCTACATGTACTCCTGGGATTTCTGAATACAGCTACTCTTCACAAGTGTGAAGTGGCTGGAGGCTGCCTGAACACTCACTTTCTTGCAGCTGTGTAGAAGAGCTGACAACTAAACCCTTCTCTATTAAGAGAGCTTCAATACTAAGTTAAGGTTATCCCTGAAAGTTGTGATTCTGGGGAGATTACAGCAGTCAGTGAAAGTGAACACTGAGGGAAGGAGCAGAGCTGGCAAGTGCATCGACTGAGTCAGTGACCTTTCAAAAAGATCTGAAGAACAACTGACTCACTGCTCAAAGAGGGTGAGTGAATTGCCCAAGAGACACAGGAACACAAATTTCAAGTAGCACACTCCGAAAACACAGTCCAAGAGAGACCTTAGTGGGGTGGTGAAGGCAAAGGTACTGAAACTTCTAATGACTCACTGAATTGTCACAGCACAGCAACTCACAAGTTACAACAGGTTCTGTGTCAGAAAAGTGGTCTAAAAATTAAACAGGCAATGGCAGTTAACACAGATAATAGACAAGATATATCTCTAGTCCCTAGGCCAGTCTGTTGCCTTCCTCAAATACTTTAAAATGTAATTTACAGTGATGTGGCCCCTGTACCAGGTCTGTACTCACCTCAGTGATATTTTTAATGAGCTTTTGAAGGAAAAGATTCTCTTCTTTGGCACTGTTACTCAATGAAGCTGCAAATTCTTTCTCTATCCAACTGGATTCCTGAGAACAGAATAAAGAAAGGGTGGGCACAGAAGAGCTGCTCCCATCTGCAGCATTCCCATCCTCAGTAGCAGTCACACTGCTAAGTCTCAGCTCTAGTGATTCCAGTATATTCCTGTCCATATCTATTCCATTTCTTCTCCAGTAAAACTACAAGGAAGACCAAAAGCTAGTTTTTATAGACTGCTATTGAACAGTCAGTTCCAAGGAACTCTGATCCCCACAGTCCTAAAGTCACAGGCAGAAGAGCATTGGTGCCACCCCCTCAGAGGAAGACACCTGAACTGTCTGCAGTTCCTCTGGCCCTGCCTGCATCTGGACTGACTCCACATCTGCTGAACACACAAGGAATATTTTGGCACGGTGCCTGATGTTCCTATACACTGGGCATCTTTACTACTGTTTCTCCTGAGGAAGCCACACCTCTGTGTTCAGACTGGAGAGTAGACACTGGGCTATCTCCCAGGTAAAGGTAAAACATACTAGAATCTCCACTGTGTCGTTAAGTGTTTTCATGGTCTTCTCCTTCTCCTCGTTCTGCTTCTGAGACTGTACAAGCAAGGCTGAGAGCTCCATCACCCTGAGAAGAGAAGGTCTACGTGCCATTCCAAAAGCTTTGCACACCAGCACCTGGTTAAGAGCCAAGCAGCTCCCCAAAGCATAGCATAGCAAAGTTCAGCCCAGGAAACACAGCAAAGACAGCATTCATCTCTACAGGTTAATACACTTGATGTTGCAAAATGGCACTTCTTGCCCCAAAGGCCTCTGCACTCAGTCTTGCAAGGAATTGTCAGCACAGAGGTGCTGCAGAGCTTATGGTGGCCCTGGGCAAATTCCTCCCAACTCCTTCAGCACAGCCCTGAGAAGTAAAAGGGCTGTAGAAGAAACACAAGAAACATTATCTTTATGCTGAAGTTTTTCACCAAGCAAAAGCACTATCAGAGGCTCTCTCTTTTTCAGTCTTATCTTACTTGGAAGAATTTCTGTCAGGCAGATACATTTTCCATCCTTTCTGTTGAAGGCAAGAGTTTGACTGGGGACAGACACAGGGCTGTTCCAAATGTGAGCACAGCCCATCTGTGAACCCAAAAAGCTGCCACAAAAGATAATGCTGGCAATAACAAAGTTAAAACACATTTACCTGTCCTGAAGCTCTTTCTTCTCCATGTCACACCTGACTTGTAAGGCTATCACTTCCTGAGCTGTCTGGTTTATTTTTGGTTCCACTTGCTGCTCTGCCTGATCCTTCAGGGCAGGTTTACCCAGAGGGATGGACTCCCTGAGGTGCACACAGGAGTTCAGGCGAGAGCAGTTCACAAGAATAGATCCAGAAAGCCTCATTTGTTCTGCCTTCAGCTCTGACAAATCTCTGAAGAGGAACAAAGAAAGAGCCAATGTTCACTCCACCATCTTTATCAGCTGATTCACTTCTGAAGCATGCAATCATGCATCAGGAAGAGCTGGCAGGCAAGGTAACTTCTTCACTGGGGACAAGTCATTCACCTGACACTTGGGGACCTTGGGGACACTTGTCAAGAACACATCTTGACAGCTGAGCAATGACTTTACCAGGTAGCCAAGTGTGGAGTTTGTTTTCTTCTCAGATATAAGAAGTAAGACATGGCACAGGCCAGAAGGCCTCAAGCACCTCTAATTACTCTTATTGACATACTGTAATTATCATTAATAGATATTAGGAATTTTACCAAAATCCCCAGCTTTTATATACTCTGCTCTTGAGTGCTCTGTTACCCCCACTGGGATTGCTAAGAAGCTCAAGACTATACCTATATAATAAAACATTTCAGAAAAGTGGTGTAAGAATCAGCCTGAAATGCTGTAACATAAAAGCACAAACAACACAAAGACTAAATAGCAGGTCAGGCAGACTCTACACAATAGGGAAGACTTATAGTCAAATAAGACAAATGGGTTACAGTAACCCAGAGTTTGAAAGTGCATGTTGACTCCAGAAGGTACTATTATGGCTACACTATTTTTCTTGGGAGAAAAGAACCTCAGAGAGCCCAAGAACAAGAAAACAATCATAAAAAGAGGTATCAAACTAAGCAAAATAGATTGGACGAATGCAGCAACAGGGTAGAGAAGCTATTCTTTCCCTCAGCAATGCTGGGAGTGGATACAAACTGACCAGAATAAATGTGTGCTGGAAATGAAAAGGGAAAAAAATATGCATTAATTATCTTTCTCTTAGGAGCAGTGGGAAAATAAACCTGGTAAGATTTTTTAAAGGGAGGTTTTTATAATTTCATAAAAGAGACCACTCTATATGCTGCATGCACAGCTTCAGTGAGTCTCTTCCCAGGTGTCCATGAATTTCTGTGCCTGTGTTCACATGCCCATACATCACCACAGTCATCACCTGCTCAGAGCCTCTGCTGTCCTCATGGCCCAAGCCCTTCAGCTTTATCTGAATACCAGCAGCCAACAACTCTTCTGAGAACAGCCCAAAGCATGCTGAATGGCATTGCTTCTGACTGCCAAAGGGGAAATCCTACCTCTGCTGTAACTAATGCAACACCAAGGTTCAAAAAGCAGGACTGAAAAGCAAGCAAGCCACATGTTTGCTGCAGGAGATCTCGCCTCAACCTCCACTCACCGGTCAGTGGCAGTCTTCATTTCCAGGAAGTGGCGGCGGAAGGTCACCACCTGCCGCCACAGGCTGAGCAGACGGGTATGTTCCCCCCTTAAGTAGCTGTCATAAAGCTTAATATGCAAAGACAAAAAGAAATGCCAATTCAGCCTTTACTGTCACTGTAACATCTCCCAGACAGGAGAGAGTAAATCACCATCACCAGGTGCCTTTTAGTAACTACTGCACCAGGGGCATCAAGGACTAAAGAGGCACCACAGAGGCCCACAGAAGGGAACCACCTGCCCAGAAAGGAACATTCACACTTCTCCCATAGCAGTGCGTAGCAGCAAAGCAAGCTGATCGTGATTCACCACCTCAAAGTCCCAGCAGAGGAACACAAACACAAACTCTTTCAAGCCCAGTGCCAGGTTGGCTTACAACAGGCAGTCAGTACAAGAGGCCTGTCTTGTTCCTGTGTTGGCCACTTTGAATCTGAACACACACAGACCTCTCTGGTCTCAATTGCTCAAAACAAGGATTAAGGAACTATTAAAGAGACAAGTGTTCCTGTGACTGCCCTACAGTGCCCAGCTCTATCTTCTTGACCAAGCAGGCAGTCACAGAAGGTGGGCATCTTCTCCCAGCACCCTCTGCTGACACTCCTCCCTCCCACACCCCTGTCCAGAACCAGCACCCCTGTCCATCCTCAGCAGAGCCACAGCCTCCACACAGCAAGTTCTCCGTGCCAGGAACAAAATGCATTCCCATTCCCCTCGCCCATCCTCACCTCCCGTTCAGTGCGCCATTCACTCTCCTTCAACTCCAGCTCCTCCCGGGCCCTCATCCAATCCACTGTCAGTTTTCCAACATCTTCTTTGAGGGCAGAATTAACCTCACTGGCTTTATCGAGGTGCTCCCGCAGGAGAGTGTTCACTTCTGCCAGATTCTCACACCTTGGAAAGAGAGAGAAACAACAGTGAGGTCACTGAACAACAGCTGTCCAGCCTCCCTATGATTTTCCAGCTCCCTTAACACTGACTTTGTTGTTTGAGAGGCAGTAAGGGCACTTTACATTGTTAACTAAGATCTCTCTGTCATGAAAACGTCATTTGCTTCTCTGTGCTTTGAGCCTTCAATTTCCATCCATGATTTTGGTCTCCCCTTCAGCCTTGACGATGCCCACAGGTAACAATTTGCCCCCTCTTCATGCTGATGGTTACTGGATGTATCACTTTTCTATAGCACTGTCCAGAGTTGTTCACCTACTCAACCACAGAATAATTTATGCTGGAAAGGGACCTTTCACCCAGAATACACACCCCACTTCCCCACTCAAAGCAGAGCCATTCAGCACACAGCACTATTACTGTACCACAGAAAGCAGATTGTGGACCTTTCTCCTGTCAAAGCACCTTGCCCAACCGCTTCCCTTGGGGAGACCAGGTAGCACCGACAGGTTTTCCCTCACTTCCATGAGCATCCAGGATACCAAGTATGAAGAAATGCTTCTTCCTTGTACCTTTGCTGCTCCTCTTCCACCTGAAGCAGTGCTTTCTCCAGGCTGTGGTCTGCTGTGGCCTCCCATCTGCCTGGAAGGGATCCCTTCAAGAAAGGAAATGTTTAGTCAAATGATAGTGTTTCCTTCACCACTGTCAGCATCCACCATTTTCCCATCCATTTGTTGGGTATCTCAGGAGCTCATGGCTTCTTCCAGGTGTAACAGTGCTATGACTACAGGGAGGAAGGGAAGGGTGTTAGTGTGAGTAGCTCTCCTCACTCTCTCACTGCTATGTGTCCTCACTTCATGACCTCAAGTGCTGATTTGGACTTGAAGCCTGGGAATGCTCTCCTATTCTTCCACCCTTTGCCTTCTAGGTTTATTTTAGCTATGAAGCAGAAAGAAATGCATAGAGCCAGTTCTGTATGTTGACCACCAGCCTTCCTGACTTCCAAAAAGCTGTTTCAACTGGCTCTTTCTCCAGGACAGTTGTATCATGTAACATGCAGCACAGTCCTCTCCTGAGACCCAGGACAAATGTAACTCTAAGGAAGCACTCTTTCACAAAATTAAAATCCTCAGCTGGGTTTTCTGGACCCACATTTCTGGGACTACTGACTGCCCTAAGAATGGCAACTGGAGAAAACACTGATGGGAAAACTCACAGTGTTTCTCTAAATCCTCAGACAGTAAAAATCTGCTTTCTTCTAATTGGATTGTGGAGGGTTTTTATTGGTCTGCATTTGGGAAGGTTAGATACACCCTTTTTAGTTCACAACCTGCAGCATACTTACCCCTGCAGCTTTCACTTGCTGCTCCAACTCTCGACACCAGGTCTGGTACTGCAGTACCTGAATGGATACAGAGAATGAAGATGAGAGAAGCAGCTTGTTATAGACTCTGCTCACCCCACACTAACTTTTCTCTGACTCTGTCCAGCACAGTGATTCTGATACGCTCAACAAGAAGTCACTGCAATATAGGGAAGCTTCACTTTAATACGACAGAGATTGGGGCGGGGTTTCTTTCAGCCGTAGCACCTTTTGCTCACCTCAGACAGCGGCAGCAAGCAGAACCATGGGACAGGTGTGGGCAGCTCTACCTGACCTAAGGCCCTCACGTACCCCGAGCCAACATTTGGCTGTTCAAGGGGGTCCCTGAAGCGATCGAAATGAGTTTTCAAACTTGCTCTGCAAGCAAACCGGCCGGACTCCTGCCCGCTGCTAACGGGGCCGAACAGCAGCGATGCTGCAGGCACCGAGATCAGGAGGGGCTCGGCAGCGAGACCGCGGCGGGACGGGCGCCCCCGGGGCCTTCCCGCCCCAAGTTCCGAGTTCGGCGCCGCCCGCCCGGGGAGGCCCAGCGGGCCCCCGCCGAGTCCCTCTGGGCAGCGCGGGCGGCCCTGCAGCCCCTCCCCGCCGCCGGGCACCGCCCGCTCCTCACCTCGTCCTGCAGCTGCCGCACCAGTCCCGCCTGCCGCTGCTGCGCCTCCTCCGCGCTCCGCAGCCGCCGCCGCAGCGAGCCCGGGCTGAGCTCCCTGGGGCTCGAGCTGCCCGCCATGGCCGGCCCAGCCCTGCCCTGCCCTGCCCAGCCCAGCCCGCCTCGAGGGTCCCGCCCCGCCGGCCGCGGGAGGAGCGGCTCCCCGGGGCCGCCCGGAGGCAGCGCAGGCTCCGTGAGGGGCGGCGCGGCCTTCCCGTGGCGGGCCCGGCGCTGGCCGCTGTCGGCGCTTCCGCTCCGCTGCGCCGGCAGGGAATTTAATCAGAAAATACGGTGATGGTGAACCCTCCGCATTTCATCGGGAATTGTTCTGAGAGTTAGTTAAGTTAACCCCATTGCTAAAAATATGTTTCACTTCGTATTTAGCTGCTGAATAAAGCTGGCTTGTTTTCAGTCCCTGCTTTTTCCCGTGACAGTGAATGCTTCATCACTCACATTCTGTTTTGTTTTGGTGGGGTTTTTTTGATTTTTTTTTTTTTTTTAAGAGGTGGAATAAACGAATTGTCAACAAAATTCTCTTTGGTCAGCATCAGCGAAGTAATTTGGGATCTTGGAATCTCTCTCTCAAATCTGGAACCATTTAAACATGCTTCTATTGCAAAAATGAACAATACTTATCAAAGGCAACTTAGGCCCATTAACATTGTATACCAAATGGAGGGACTCTGTTAGTGAATAGGCTTGAAGAAGCTTAAAACAAACCATTAATTTCTCTAACTGGTAACAGGCAGAGCTACCAAAAATTAGGAAAAAAATTAATTTCCACTTAATTCAGAGTTGGGGGAATTAGGTACATCTGTGGAATCAAGAAACAAAAATAACACTCCCACTCAGGATATTCCATGTTTCTATGATTCTGTGCTTTGTAGTTCACTACTGTTCACAGATGTAGCTAAGTTTTTTAATAACAATGACACAATTATTTCATTGGACTTCCAATTTTTTTATTTAACATCACAACATTGTAGCACAGTGTTTTAAATTATGCCACCTTCACATGGAAGTGGAAACATCATTAAATTTGTTTTGCTCTGGCCCAAGATAAGCAAGTTTTAATTATAACATCTTAATTATAACAGGTTTTGTGTAATTATTTCTCTTGAAAAGCACAGAGCTGTTAAGTTCCTTCCTAAATTGTAACTTTACACTTTTAAAAAACAGTTGCCCAAGTGCAATGGTGCAGAGGTCTAAATCCTCCCAGAAACAGAATGATAATTAGTTTCAATAAGCAAAACAATGTGACAGCAAATGGCTTAATATATGGAGTTAACTCAATCTTGTAAGTCCTTTCTGGAAATTAGTCCACCTGGGAAAGGACAATGACTTTCCTGATAGATCACTATAAAGGCTTCCATGTGCAGCTTCAACTGCAAGTTTGCAGCAGAGAGCAAATTCTAACTCTTGGCATCACATACCCAATGGAGCTGCTCATCCTGAGGGAATGGCAGTGTTTTCAACACTATGAAATCTTCCTCTGGCTCCCCAGAGTGATCCCTTCCTCCAGACCGTGCTGGACATCCAGAAGGGCTGAGATTAACTGAAGAAGGCATCACAGCTCAGGTAGGCATGGCGTCAGGATCTGGAGAACAGGAGGCAAGGCACTTCCAGGGAGCAGGGACACAGGTGGCCCTCCCTTTTCAAATCCCTGCGCACACCATGTGAGGGAGGAGCTGCTGTCACAGAACAGGCTCAGAAGGACAGGTGGGCTACATGGACCTGGCCATGCACAAGAGTGTGCCTGGCGGTGAGCAGTGAGAGGCTTGGAACACCACTTCCACTGTGTCCTGTATCCAGAGCCTCACCAGCAGGAGGGTTTCTAGCTACATATTGAACATATCAGTGGAGTTTGAGTTTAGCCAGCTGGAATGACTCCACTTAGGTGTAGGGTTCATAGGAAACCCCCAGTCTGTGGGTCTTGTTCAGGGTCAGCATTCCACTCTGGGGTCTGTGGGGCTCAGTGCACTCTACAGCATCTGAGCTCCTGTGGTTCCAAGCACTGGGATGGCATTTGCTTCAAGAGAGACTCTTTTAAAGAGGAAGATTAGTTTGAACACCTTGTTTTGCTTGCTTTTCCTTTTCTTTCTCTCTAACTCTGTCCAGCCCACTAAGATTCTTTTAATCTCAGACATGTAAATATTCTTTGAACATATCAATGATCATGCTTTAATTTGATTTACTAAGACAAGGCCCATGTAATCACATTGTCTAACCTCCTGCTCTTTCACGTCCCATCTCTTAAATCTGTTTGCAAATCTCAGCCAAGTTTGATAGAGCAAACAACCTTTTAAAGATATTAAATTCTTAAAAGCATTGTGAAAACTGGAAGCTGGATAGATTAAAAGTGGAAATTCAACATTTGGCTACTTTTGTGGCTTACTGGCAAGCTGATAAATACCCACAAGGTGCAAAACCAGACACAGCACACCACCCAGCAGAAAGGTGGGAAGTATGGGAAGGATAAAGTGATGGCATAGCTGGGAGGGCCATGGGATGCTGTGGAGTGACTGCTGGGGAATGGTTTCACCAGAGGTGACTCGCAGGAGAAGCTGCTTTATTTTGTAGGGAAATATCAAAAGCACAACTGACATCAGAGGAAGGGTCTTCAGATCAAAATCAGGAGGATCATGATTTGAATCTACCTTATTTGTGGCATCTGTAAAATCACTGAACTCTTCTATACTTCAGTTCCTCCATCAAAACAAGTGAAGCATTCAGAGCTCCTCATGTCATGCAGGTTGTCATTTATGAAAGCAGTTCAGTGTTTCTGATACTGGTCAGGGTGGGTGGGGAATGCTAAGCACACACAGAACATGCTAAAAGGTGGTGCACCTTTTTCCTTTCATCTTAACTCGGAAAGAAAAGAAATTGCAGGAGAAGGACTGGGCTTAGCATCAGTGTAAGATGAAAAATGGGTACCAGTAATCCCTGCTGAGTCCAGCACAGTGCCTCCTTTCCTGAAGGCTCGTTTAGAACAACAGTTCGTTTTTTGCAGGTTATGAAAGACACACTTGGCTGACAGCTGCAGGACAGCCCTGACAGTGAGGAGCGCTGGTTTTGACCTGCAGCCTTCTTGGGGCCCCAGGGTCAGCAGGTCTTGGACATTTTGCATCTAAAATTAAAACAAAGGCTGCTGTTCAGCAGTCTCGGGAGGAAAGACGGGGTTCGGCCTGTCTCCAGCTCCCGAGTGGCTGTGGAGAAGGAAAAGAAGGAGGAGGAGGAGGAGGATGGCTGCCTGCAGGGTGCACTGCTGCCCCGCTGCACCGCGCCCGCCCCGCGGGGCATCCCCTCCGGCAGGAGCTGCTTCTCCAGCTGGGCTGACACGGGTTTTTTTAAGCACAGCAATAAATAAGCCAAAATACACTGACTGCGGGCACGGCCCTGTTGAGTTTGTGTAAAATTAAATGTTACCCTCGTTAAGCGCCTGTGTTGCAGCGCAGCCCTTCAGTCACGGGGGGACGGAATGAAGCCACTGTTAGAAGTTCTCTGGAAAAAGAGCTACATGAATTATTGCTAAATTAGTTTATGTATGTGTCCAGTGGACTGTGTGACAGCTCTCAGTTGTTGATCTTGCAGTTTGTCCTGTCTAAATGTGAAGTTCATCGAGGGCTGAGGCAGAGGTCATACTGCCACTTGAAAAGGCATCCTCTGGAGTTTTGAGCCTGTGGAGCTGTTTCACATGAGGCAGAGTATGACTCATGCTAATGAAAAGGGTAAAGAAGATTTTTTTTTAAGAAATATATCGCAGTTAAATTAGTTTAGACAGCATGACATCAGAGAGTAATTAAATAGGTTTGTTGGAATTCCGTTTCCAATTCCAGAGTTCAGGTTTGTAAAAGATTTCTGAGCACCTGCAGGCCTCTGTGTGTGAAATATTTTCACTGGAAAGGATTCAAAACTCAAAACTTTAAAAAAACCTTTTAACACAGAGGCAGCATTACGCCATTCTTCCTTCTTGGAAAAAAAAAAAAAAACCCTCGGATTTAAACAAGACTCCTTCAAGTTTTCAGTCAGTTTTACAGAAGAAAACGAGGTGGTAAACTTTCTCTTTTCAAGAACAAGTTCTTTATAGCTGCTAACTAAAGTCAGGGGAGATCGTATCTGAGTACATGAGCATTTCCACTATGGGACTGGATACAAGTATTGAACAACGATATTTGAAATGTTTTAATCTCAAACGAAAACCATTTTTGCTAACTTTGGTTTTTAAATTCTTTTATGTTTTCTTCTGCCAAACTGGAGGAACCTTTTCTGATTTTTTCTTTAGTGGCATTCAGAGGAAGACCAGAGGATGAAAATCCTGCATTTTCTCACTTTACTGCTTTGGCATTTGACTTGGCTGTCTCTGGATCTAGTTCCTGGAGCGCTGAGTAATTCTGAAGCAGGCCAGGGTAATCTAGGATCTAAACTAGGTTTTTTGAAAGCAGAAGGAAAGGAGAGGAACCCCTCTGCACGGGCAGGTACATTGAGGACTGCAAGCCATGGATACAGTGCTGGGACCTCAAAGGCCAGGACTAAAAGCAGTGCTGTTCAGGCTGGAGCTCTGCTGGCCAAGAATGATGACTCAAAGAAGGTTCCCTCAAGAACAGCAGCCACGGAGGGCAAGGTAGGACATCTCCCCGGCAGACCTTCTGGAGTAAGGACAGTGACTCCAAAGGTTCAAAATCTTAGCAGCAAGGTGGCTTTGAAAAAAACTGGCACAAGCAGTACTGACACTGATTCTTTCAAAACCAAAAAGACTAAAGAGCCTGTAACCCAGAGGGAAGCTAAGGAAACTTTCCGACATCCCCCGATAACGCCACATGAATACATGCTCTCTTTGTACAGGACTCTCTCAGATGCAGAAAGAAAGGGTGTTAATGGAAGTGTAAAACTGGAGGCTGGACTTGCCAATACAATAACCAGCTTTATAGACAAAGGACAAGGTAAGAAAGGAGCTTGTGTGTGAGTGAGTGTGAACAGAGAGAGATGTCTGAGTGTGCTTATAAATGCAGAGAGTATTGGAAAATAATCATACTTTGGTAAAGTCAAATAGCTCTTTTTAATGTAAATGAAATCTCACAACTTTGCTGCAGATTT